TTTAAGTGGGGGAACTTGCACAATCGGTGGCTGACTAAATACTTTTTTGCCCCACTGTATATCTGTCTCCAGCTTTCTTTCTGGCATTATGCTTTCTCAAGTGACAACTCAAATCCTTGCTGAGTTTTTATACTATGTGTAAATGAGAAGAAAAACCTCTGTTTTAACTTGATTTTAAAAGCTTTGAGCGTTGAGTTAAAGCACATCATTGCACAGCGGTGGTTTTTGTTATGGCTCAATAAAAGGGGGCTAATGATTCTTGCTTTTTCTAAAATAATGCTGTTCTTGTGTGCAAACAGAAAATTCTAATGGAAGCTAGTATGTTTAAAAATGCTATATTAAAAATCCCTCACTCTGCAGAAAAAAGCACTTGAGAAATTTTTTGACAGAAGCTTTAATTCATATGTGGCCTGATAACTTTATTCCCATCTGTATGTGCTGTTTTAATGGAGTAACCTGATGAGAGGGCAAAGGCAGGAACTGTTTACTAAGAGACCAGGATTTTATCAAGATGCAGCTTCTCATTATCAGGATGATTCAAATCTTTATACTCACAGTGCATTCATGCAATTTGTTTCACCTCAACAAGTTGCTTCAAAATGTTCCAATTATTAGCTCTGATTACTGTGATCGCGTTATGACAGACAACACCTCTATGTAAACACCCCAAGGGGACAAGATTCTAATTTCTTCCACAAGATACAACATTGTAGAAATGGGTACAATGTTAGAAACTCCCAGCTCTTTTACTGTGTATACTGTGCACAGCTGACTCTGCAGCAGCACGTCTCTTGTCTTGCTCTCCGGTTTTTCCACTTTTGCTCAGTGCCCAAGGCGACTTATTGGATTCCTTCTAAAAACAAATGTTCATTTAATGCTCATGAGATCCACTTCAAGATAACTCATCGCAAGACAGGGTGAGCTCAGCAGAGTGCCACTTTGAATCATCTGGAGAACGGAGAGTGTCTAAGCATAGCCAAGGTGCAGCTACAGATATTCCACATAAGCAGCACCGTGTCTGAACTGAACTGCTCTCAGGAGTCCAGAAGGATTATTTTTGAAATGATGCATGTCCGATGTTGTTTTAGTTCTGTGCAGTCGGTGTTTTACAGCTGCTCTATCTGTTAAGCAACTCTTCAGACAAGCGGTAAAAACATGTCAGTCATCTGCAGAATGTAAATTTAAAAGAAAACCATACAAAGAAATCAAAATCAGAAAGAAAAAGGTGCAAGTGAATGAAAGCAATGTATTCTTCCCACTGACCTCAGTGTGGACATCCTGAATTTCTTTCTTTTTCTTTAAAATCAGGTATAGCATAAGTCCTTCACATCCTGCCAGTTACTTAAATAGGGTAGGCTGGTTAAGATATATTAACCTACTCACAGTTTCTGTTCAACTGTCGCTTTGCAGCCCATCTTGACCTGAGGGCCTCCTTCTTTGCTGCCTTTGACACAATCACTGTCACATCTCATGTCACTAACGCCTGCTCTGTTCTGTGTTCCAGCTTTTCTGTTGCACTCGCTGACTTATGCACATCCACATGCATGTCTAATCCAGGACAGAGACACATAAATGACTGCAGATAACAACAGAAGTCTTCTTTTGAGCTGCCCTAACTGAAATCTGTTGGTTCTTCTGTAGTTAAAAAAGAACAAAACATTAAATACACCTTCTAAGTGCGTTTCAAAATGTTTAGTTTAATAATGAGATCCCTGCAAAGCTTACGCCATGTGATTTCTAAAAATACATTCATCGTATATTCATGTTCAGATCTGCCTGAGTGAGTGTGGAATCTACTGTACGCCAGTTTTTTAGAACAGCAGCATGCTCCCATTCCTTTCACGTTGTACAGTAGTTTGTGTCACGTCTCTCTTTTTGCTCATGCTTTAATCTTCCATTCCAGCCCAGAGAGGTAAACCTCACGACTTGAAGACTTCTATAGTAACTAAGAGAAAAGGAAATGCTTAACAGCGCAGGCTGCAGTTGTGATATAAAGCTGAATACAGCACCCTGTAATTGTTAGAAATACAGCTATAAACCACCCACCCATCACTTCTGACTGTTCATTAGACAAAAGAATTTATTTAAAGATCCCATTCTGGGCTACAGAAAGCTGTGACTGGGATCTGTCACTATACAATGATGTCTTATAGGAGAAACAAGTGGGAGAGGAAATGATCTGCTCATTATTCTATAGTGAAAACATAGATTTCAGGAGTTCAGGAGGGATGCCAGGGACAAAAAACATAACTGTCAGCACAGTGACTGCAGATTTCTGTGTTTTCTTTTACATAAATAACATTAATAACAAAGTAAACAAAAGATAAATGAAGCATTCAAATGAGTCAAAACTCTCCATAAAGTTTCCAGGGTGAGCATCCCTCTGGTCCTCGCTTAATGCCCAACCTCCAAATGTGCAAACAAAACCTTCACCCATGGCTGAAGACAGTTACTAATTAATATGAATCTACAGCTACACTGTATAAACTAATGTGGCTTTATTTGAAATGTTCTCCCATTTTTGAGTTGATGAAACTGATTGTTGCTAAATAACTGAAGCTACTTTGTAGAGTAAATGAAACCCACTTCAGTGTGTGAGAATATATTTGCACTGTGTTCATCTACTGTAATAACTTTTTAAATGAATTTCACCTAAACTACTTTTGATGTGGAATTTAACCTTAAATTTAACACTTTATGTTGAAAGCTATCATCAAGGTCCATTTATAATATTAAATTGATTTCTTTGTTTCTCCCCAACATCAAAACAAACCATTTCTGTTCCTTTTGCATCAGGAACTCAAGTGAGGGGGTGGGGCTTTAATTTACTGCCCCAGCTGTGGATATCTGAGAGTAACAATACACATTCATATCCATCACTGTCTTATGGCCTGAGGAGACCCTGAAGGATGAAGATGAATAAAAAGAAGTTTATGTGCCAGCCAGCCATGTGAGGTGGACGTAGCAATGTGACCACAATTCTCACAGTGTTAGATTGCTCTCTGGCTGGGTAGATCACCCCACTGATGTTGATGCCTGCCTCACATATAAGGTCAATAAAAGTAATGCAGCACACAAGGAGGAATGGCTCTGAATTACTTAGCGAGGAAAGATTTGAAATATTCTCGATACTGCAGCAGAGGCGGGGGGTGGGAAAAAAATTAAAAAGAGCCTCTCAACCTCATTTTCCAAATCAGCCTGTGTGCTCAACTGGTGTCCTGATAGACTTATTGTGAGAGCCTTATCTTCTCTGGTGTTGGGCTTAATCTCCTGCCCACTTTGAGAGCGAGAAGAACAAACACTCGGAATTAGAGCTGCTTTTCACTCTGCACAAGGCTGCCGCTGCTGCTGCTGCTGCTCATTCTGATTGGGGCGTTATTGATGCAGAGAGAAGCAGCAGTAAATTGGAAAGCTGGGTGATTGGTTACATACAATGAGGATGAGGAGAGCTGATTTAAAAAGAAGAAGAAGAAGAAGAAGAAGAAGAAGAAGAAGAAGAAGAAGAAGAAGAAGAAGAAGAAGAAGAAGAAGAAGGAAAGAAAGAAAACAACTCCTGATTGCAAATGGCTTTCTTTTAAAAATACAGATCGGACACAGTGTGGGGGGGAAATGATCTGTAGGTAAAACATCATTTGGTGTTCTACATATATGAGTAAGGAGAGGAAATTACATGAGGTCTATTGATTGCATTTTTGTAACCAAGGAATTAGTCATTTGTCTGTTTGTAACTTGGAGGGAATCAACACTGTTAACAAGAAATGAAAGCTGTTTTTTTTTAATCACTCAGATTTAGTTTGTATGAAAGGATGAATATTGAAGAACAATGTTGGCAATTTAAGCCAAATCAGACTAATAACAATAACAATAATAATAATAACAACAACAACAACAACAACAACAATAATAATAATAATAATAATAATAATAATAATAATAATAATAATAATAATAATAACATTAGGGTTTAACACCTTATCTGTTTATACCGGGTCTGGGGCCAGGTGTTGGTGCCATCTGTAGCGGTTTAACACCTCAGCCTGGATGATTCATTTGTGGAAAACTGGGTGCTCTTACCTCTGGCTCTGGCCGGTCTGCTGGGGACGGAGCGGTTCGTGTTGCTCACGTTGTAGTCGCTAACTTCCACGCTGAGGTTCCCCCACTCCGTCACAGTCCCGTTCCCCGTCCGTAGAGCCATCCTCTCTTCGCTTCTGGTTTCACACCTGCGCTGAGTGACTGAGCCGATCAGCCCGCCACCTTTTCCTTCATAACAGCCGGAGAAGGGGCGTTTAGGAAACTTGGAGGCGGCCCAGAGTTCTGTTTGCTTTTCTTTTCCTTCTTCTTCTTCTCTTTTGAAAATCTCGAGCACGGTGGAATAAATGGAGACCAGGCGGAGTGTGACAGGGTTAACTGATGGGGAGCCGTGAGGGAAGCCCCGGGAAGCGCGCAGTACAGCGGACTGAAGCCCGACTGTGGAGGAATGAGGCTGCGCTGCTAAGGCAACTGAGGAGCTCTCACACTCTCTTCCTCTCTCTCTCTCTCTCTCTCTCTCTGTTCACACCACCGTCACTGCAACAGTTTAGAGAAATCATACACAAACTGGCTGCTGCTCATCCGTAGGTGGACTGACTTCAAGCTCGATCAGCTCCAGAGCTTCCTTTTCTAAGTGACAACGCAGCAGTGGTGGAGACACCGTTTATATGGGGGTGTCCATGCAGGGCTACGTGCTTGGGGTGACGTTGGATCTCCATCCATTTTAACAAGATTTATTAAGAATTTGTGATAAATCCACCTGACCAAACCAATCATTTTCTTTATCACTCACTAGTTCTGTGCCATACTTATTCACTTGGTATTGATCTGATGCCAAGTAAATATGAGTATCTATCGCCAATAGAGATATCGATATTTTCAGCTATATAGGCAGATTATGTAGGGGAGAGTAGTATGTCATGATTTGTGAGATGAATCATCAATAATTTGAAAAGGTTCAGACGTTTTTCACAGTGTGTGTTTGAAGGTTGTTTTTTTTTCTTTTCCAGAAAAATAATTTGTTGAACACAGATCAGTGGGCTGCACGCTGAGGACAGAAACAAAGTAATCAGATAGCAATACTGATTACTGATATTTGGATCGATCCACCCACATCTGTCTCTCACATTTGTTATTTGAATTGGCCAAAAAGCAAAAGGACTCATGTAGAGGAGGTACTGCTACGCTTGCATCCAGTGCTATATTTTCAATTCTGGACTCTATAGATTCACTTTGCATGATTCACAGCCCATTTTTCTTAGATGTGGGCCTTGGTGCAGCAATGTCAGCTCATCCTCTGTCTGAAACCAGCTGTTTTAGCACCTTCTCTTTAAGCAAGTTTTTTTTTTCCTGATCTACTGTGCCTCATAGGTAGAAGGTTTAAGCATCAGGTGTGAACCAGCATGGCAGCGTTTGGCTCAGCTGCATCACTTGTACATACACTTGTCTCACTCTTTCAATATGGCCTTGTTTGATATGAGCTCCCATAAGTACATCTGTATAATAAAAAATGGGGAAACAACATGCGTCTGCTTAATTATTATAATTTAAAAAGAGTGTTTTCATTGTTAAAATGTTTTTGGAGGAGACTGAGAGCGGTGTACCCCAGGAGAGGCCCAGGCGTTGTCCACATCCCTGGGGCTGTGGTCAGAGCACGGGCAGACCAACTGCAGGCCTCCACCATCATTCCCATCCCCAAAAGGTCTGAAATAGACCATCTCAATGACTACAGACCTATATCCCTAACGTCTGTAGTCATGAGGTGTTTCAATAGTTTCTCACCACATCAGAGACTGCTTACCTTCATCTCGGAGTAAATCGGTCCATGCAGGATTCCATCACCATCACATAGCACTGAGCCATCTGGAGAACTGGAAGAGCTACATGATGCACTTCATGCACTACAATTCAGAGTTCAACACCATAGACATCCTCACCACCAAACTGGACCACCCTCAGGTCCCCTCTGCCACATTCTCCTGGATCAAAGATTTCCTGACCAACAATCAGTACTGCCACGAGCAGTAGAAGTAAAGGACACCTTTTCTTAAATGAACTGGTTGTAAAGCAGAGGTGCCAAAGAACAGATAGCTCAGTAGGTAGAGTGGTGGCCCCATGATCGGGAGGTCAGGGGTTCAAATCCACTGAACGGCTACCCTGAAGTGCCCCTGAGCAAGGTACTGTCCCTACACACTGCTCCCCGGGCGCCCACTGAGTGAATGGGTTAAATGTAGAGAGGAATTTCCCCACGGGGATCAATAAAGTATACGTTACATGTTGCACATCCTGTGTTCGTGATGAGAACATATTACTGTGAATGTTATTGTCTTGGTTACATATTAGCTGTTATAAATGATTGTTTAAAGCGAAAGAGTGCCTCGGTATTTTCTCGTAGCCTGTGGAACAACTTTATGTTCCATTTAGCTGTTTGGCTAACAGGAGAAAGGTGAGACCCTCTGAGACCCCTGATGGGCAGCGTGATGGCTTTGTTTATGAGGAACAATCTATAAGCACCTCTGGGTTTCGTTTAGTTCATGTGCTGATGCGTGAGAAATGATGCTTTGAAAAGTGTCTGGAGGTAGCGGGGGAGGAGGGGGACTTAGTTTGCACCGTGGGGGAGGAAGACTACACTATTTGTGTTTGTGATTTGTTATATGGTTGCTGTCAGTCCTGGGGATGGTTTTACAAGTACTCTTATTGCTTTTGTGCTGCTCCTATGTGTGGGTGGTGTGTGTGTGCTCCAGCTTGGCTAACATGTGTTGGTGGTTTTCCACATTTTGTAGGATAACGGCTTATTACAGTAATGCCAAAAGTCTCTCCCTTCCTCTTCCTCTGGAGCCTTCAGTGTTGAGAGTTTGGCAGCTGCTCTGCATTGATTTTCACTAGATAAAGGTCTTCACGCAGGTCATGATCAGCCTGTCTGATGAGATGGGGAATTTGCCTTTTGATACACGGGAGTGTCAGAACCTCCTCTTCCTTTTAGTAAAACTGGCGGAGTGAAAATTCACTGAAAGAAAATGCAGTTCAGCTAAAGCACTCAAGCTCCTGAGAAATTCAAACAGGCCTCTGTCATTCCACCTATTGTAAAATTTCATAAGTAGCTGAAAACACCGTAGTGAATATTAACGAGCATAGACCAATCTTCCCTAAAGCTAAAAAAAAAAGATGAAACAAACTTTGCATGAAGTATGATTATGATGTCATAATACAATCCCAATTTGAAAAAGTTGCTTTGCTGTCTGTTACGCCCCTCTGCAGCCCCTAACCTCTTTGCAGTGTTCAGCTGTTGCTAATTGACCACACCTGGTGAGGTATGGATAAAGGCATACCTGAGGCAAGCTTTCAGGAAGGCGCACCAGTCTTTGTCTTAGTGGTACCAGCTGTTTTAGCTAACTTATTATGTAATTTAAAATAAAACCTCTTCTTTGTGGAATTCTGGTGTTTATTTATATTGCAGCTTTTAAGCCAGGTCATAACATGTCTAAAATGTAAATATAGCCAAACTCATGAACTCATATTTTATCAAAAATAGAACATAGAAAATATATTAAATTAAAAAAAGGTCACTCTGAATTTGATGGCGGCAAAAAGTCTCATAAAAAGGTGGGACAAAGGCAACAAAAGGTAAGTAAGTGGTACTAAAAAGAAACAAATGGAGGGACATTTTGCAGCTAACTAGGTTAATGGAAATGGATCAGTAACATGCCTGGGTGTAACAAAAAGATCTTAGAGAGGCAGAGTTTCTGGTAAGTAAAGATGAGGAGAAAGACACCAATTTAAAAAGAAATCCATTTACAAATTGTGCAATCTGGAGAAATATTTGTGTGGCTGACATAAACGGTAATAACCAGACCGAAAAGCAGCGCACATTTCGGTGCTTTTTTTCGGTGCTTTATTTCCCCTGAGATGTCACACACTTTGAATTCTAGCCAATCATTTTACCTTTGCAAGCGTAGTAGGCGGGCCCAGGTACATAGGTTCTTTTAGAGCAGAGCTACAGATTAAAAAAGGCTGAAAATCAGTGTTGAATGTCTGTGATCTTCAGGCCCTAAAGTGGCACTGCATTGTAACAGACATGATCCTGTCACACACATTATCACATAGGCTTAAGAACACCTCCAGAAGTCTGTGAACACAGCTCAATGTGCTACCTACAAATGCCGGCTATCATGCGAAGAAGAAACCATAAGTGAACATGATCTACACATGCTGCCTACTTTTCTAAACCAACTTCCTCATTAAAAGTGGACTGAGGCAAAACTGTTCTGTGGTCAGAAAAATCAAAACCTGGCATTGGCAGTTTGCACAACTGGAAAGGTACTATCGATGCTGAACGGTATATATAGGTTTTAGAGCAATACATGCTCCAGATGGGTTCTTTGTCAAACCAAATACTACAGCTATTACAACAGCATGGGTGCAAAAGCAAGAATTGAGCCACATTCCTCTCCCAGAAGTCCAGGAGCTGGTCTCTTCAATTCACAGATGTTTACAGACATCTTCAAAGAAGGGGGGATGCCACAGGGTGGTAAACAGAGAATGTGTTACTGTAATCGGATTACTTTTTTCAAGTAACGAGTAAAATAAGGGATTACTATTGCAAAAACGGTAATTAGATTACCGTTACTTTCCCGTAGGAACGCTGTGTTACTGCGTTACTAAAACCGTGATTTTTTTGCGAGAATGTCTCATGACAGTGACGTAAGCAAGTGCGACATTCGTGACAACAGCTGTGTGCAGATCAACAGTGGATCATATATCGAGTGCGGGAGAGAGTATGAGCGTGCAGCATTTAAAGTGTGGAAGTACTGACCTTACTTTAAGTTTGATTCCATAAAAAGTGACAAAAACATTAGCGTCTGTTGTGCATGAGAAGAAAACGTATTTTTACTGCGAAAAAACCCCTAAACGTCCAAGCAAGCACCGAGTGCGCAACGACGCAATGGGAAATTCACAGAGAAACTCGCGGATTCTTCAACTGACCGCTGCGGCACACCTGCACCAGAAACCTCCGCCTACCCCGCTCCTGCTTTACAGGTGAAAATAGAGCAACAGGACTGCTAGTCTTTGACTTTATTTATTTTCTGCTGTGTTTTACTTGCATCTATTTGAAAGACTGAGTGTAAACACAAAAAATATATTTTATGTGCTGGAATGTGCAGAAAATAGGTTTAAATATTAAACAAATTTCTTCCAGTCAGAGAATGTTGCATATAATTACATTTTTGCTTGATGCATAAAGTTAAAAGATTAAAACTAATAAAACAAGTTTAAAAAAAAGAGACTTTTCCATTTGATTACATTTTGTGTGATGGATTATGCAGAAAAAGTAGAATTGGGCTGAAAGATCTATTGCTTTATCACCTATTCAGGTTGTAAATCGTGTTTTTAAAAAGTAACTAAGTAACTAAGTAATTAATTACTTTTGAAAATAAGTAATCAGTAAAGTAACTGGACTACTTTTTGGGGGAAGTAATCAGTAATTAGTTACTGATTACTTTTTTCAAGTAACTTGACCAACACTGGTGGTAAACATGGCCCTCTGCCACCTTTCAGAGATATGTTGCTGCCATCAAATTGTAAATGAGCCAGTATTTTTGCTGTGTGGGATCAGTGTGATGTATTAAAATGGAACCCTGTATAGCTTGTAAAGCTTAGATTAC